CTCTCGGCTCTAAGGGGCTGAGATTTAGGTCTGGTTTTATATGAACCCAAACCCTATGCTATAATGAATACCTTAAAAAAAAAAAAAAAAGCCAAACCCTATGTTTTAAACATATAATTTCCTCTTCATAAAAGTGGGGGCAAAATAAAATGCCTATCTCTCACACAGAAATGAGCAGCTGAAATGGCTATGTCAGGCATACAAATATATGTAAATATTTATTTTCCATATTCTAATGGAGAAATCAAGAGAGAGCTAGTATTTTGTATGTTAACTGATACTATGTATTGACACTTTGAGGGAGGCATATAAAGATATTTTCCTGCTCTTGCTTTCTTCTCTACAGTCTGGGGAAAACTCTTAATGAGAAGGGGCACACACAAAAAATTTTCCACTCATTTATGAGTTGGGACTAACAGTGTAATTAGAAAGAAATCAGAAAAAAATGATATCACATACACACAAAAAAAACCTAGAAAATGCCAATGAAGTCATTGGTGCCCTTCTAACCCTGTCAGGTGACAGGAATGCCAAATCTTCTAAAAACTTTCTGGTCAATAGAAAACAAAACAAAACAAAAACACCCTGACTTTTCCCTAAATGCTGACCTAATTCAATAGTTTTCCAATGATAACTTGGAAACAGTCAATAAATAAAATATGCCTCACTGGAATTTATGATTAATTGCCTTTCACAATTGGAATACCAAATTCATCTATGAAAAGAACAATTCTCATTCCCTTTTTTTTTTTTTTTTTTTTTTAAGAGAGAGAGAGACCACACAGGGCAGGGAGGGGCAGAGGGAGAAGAAGGGAGAGAGAGTGAATCTCAAGAAAACTCCCTGCTGGGCATAGAGCTCAATGCTGGGCTCGATCTCATGACTCTGAGATCGTAACCTGAGCGGAAACCAAGAGTCTTATGCTCAACTGACTGAGCCACCCAGGCACCCCTCATTACCTTTCTTAAGATATGCTCTGGATCTATGTTTTTTTGTCTGTAAATTTAAGAAGTATTTTGCCCAACTTTTATAATTGATATTCATTACATATTACATAATCAATCTTAAAAATAAATTATTATAATAGAACAGGAATGGAAAACAGAAAAGGTAATATTCCCCATGACTGTGCCTTTGGATGCACAGTTTACACAGTCAGGTCAACAAGAGCCCGTGCTGGTGAGGCAGAAGCCACACTTACATAATGTCCTGGGCCTAAGGGTTGTGAACAGGAAGAAAGACTCGTTCTTAAGGTGAACTGCATAATCTCTTCTCATTCCCTGAAGCGCTGTAGGGGAGGGAAGGGAGAGACTTCTATCTGTCAAGGAGAGTTTGGCTGCACGGCTGCCTCAAGGCATGAGAATAGATTATGCGTTCCTTCAGCATCAGAGTAAGACTCTGTGATGCTACAAGAGATTCCAAGCCACTTTCCGTATCTTTGGAGTTCAACTGCTATCTCACTTGGGCCTCAGAAAGGAGGGGCTGTTCCTGTCTTCCTTACAATTCCCACCCTAATTATTACATTATACTTTCACAATTTAATCCCTTTATTTGCCTCACTGCCTTTTTGGGGCTCAGTTAGCACCACGTTGTGATACCTGCTGATGTAGCTAGCGGGGTAGCCTTACTCAGTGCTGCCCAGATGCCAGCTACAAGGCCAGCCAGGTGGGCGAGTCCAGAGTGCTAATCTGGACAGTGACATCTCTGTCTCCTGCTCAAAATCCCTGAAAGTTGCTCTCTCCAATATGGAGTAAAACTGAGCACTATACATCAATGCCAAGAATCACCCTGTGCTTTGCTCTGTGAAGCTTCTGGTAGCATTTCAGCATCCTTAAGGAAGAATCAGGCATGGAATTCCAGTTGCTCTGTTTTAGTTATTGCTCAGTAAATAACTACTGCAGAGCTATTAATATCTAAGCTATATGATTTAAAAAAACAAACAAACAAACAAACAAACCCTGCCAGGAAATTGTTTCATACTTGTTCTATCTCTGGAAACATACTAAGGACAAAGGAGTTTAACCACTGCCCGCACCCCACCACCACCACCATACTAAAAATTTGGTATTCCCTCAAGACAGGAGACGCTCGTAGAGGAATTCACCTCAATGCACAAAGGTTTGAGAACAAAATTTTAATAAAATGTTGGTAAGATGCAGCTCCAGACAGTGTGCTCATGTCTGGCTCACAGTAGGTCCTCAGTAAATATTTGTTGAGTAAAGGGAAGTGGTTTTTATAGTGAGAATCTCTTGCTTATATCAGCATACAGAGCACCTGTTCCCAAAATATTAGCTTATCTTCCAGTAGTTTTAATGCCAGAGCTGTATAAACTGAAAAAACAAAATTGAATTACTAATGGTATGAGTTTTAGATGCTCTGTAACAAAAGTATTCTAATACCTTTGGACAATAGCCAGTAAGAACCCAAAGATTTGAAATATGTTTTCATTCTCAAGTTTTACAATGTTAGAAAGCAGGCTGAAGACATTTCTCAAATGCCCAACAGTGTGAGGAAGCTCCACAGGTCGACCACCATTGTTTTTACTCACTCTACTTACGATTTCCCATTACATTTTATCCTTAAACGTTCCCTGAAGTAGGTATTAGTGCCTTCAATTTACAGATGAGAAAAAAGAAAAGAAAAGAAAGCTCCAGTGGATGAAGGATTTTTCTAAGAAAATGGTAAATAAAATATGGCAACGATAAGCCATAAAATAGGAAGAGAGAGCCATCAAAATACCTAGGGAATTCATACGTACTCCATACTAACTTGGCTTGTGTTCTTCAGTTAAAATTCTAAAAGGCTATGAAAAAGTTAGGCTTAAATATCCACTCAATTTTGTCAGAGTTATGATGTCTTGAAAACCTGCTCCCTTTAAGTCAACCCTTTAACTGTGGCTTCATCAGCTACAAAACAAGGCGGCGATGTCACAGGCAACACAAAAGCAAATGGGAGATGGTACAACCCATTCCGCTAAGAACAGTAAGTGGAAAAAAAAAGGTGGGAGATTATGTACACATAAAGGATTTCATAATCACCTTTTGTTAAAACATTTGGAAGGATTAGAATTTAACAAACAATCTCATTTGCACTTTAAAAATCAGTACATAACAAAGTTATTAAACTGATTTCAGTTACATCCAAGAAGGGACCATTAGAGACAATGGCCAGTCAGTAAATCAGCAGCAACACAGTAGAGAGCCGCGGTTCTCAAAGCTGGGTAAGCATCAGAATCACCTGGGGAGTACTCACAGATTGCTGGGCTCACCCTCCAGAGATTCCGATTGAGGCGATCTGGGATGAAGCCTGGGCATCTGCATTTTTAATACATTCCCAGGTGATACTGATACCCCTGGTTCACTAGCCCATACTTTGAGAAACACTTTACTTAACAAAAAGCAGCACCAAGGAAGGCAGCGATCTTTACCCTTGACTTTATCAAAGCATTAAGCAGAAGGCTTTCAAAAATCTCCCCCCACCCTTGCCCTGGCCACACCCAAAGCCAAGTCATTCAGAATTTGGGGGTAGGAGCCCTGCCATCAATTTTTTTTTTTCAGTCTCCAGGTGATGCCAGTGAGACTGTGGCCAGGATGAGAACCACTGACAGGTGGAAAAACACACACGTGTATCCAGAAGTGCTTGTTAAGAAGAAAACATTTTGTAAACCACTGAGAATAGAATCACTGATGAGCTGAGGATCTCCAATAAGCAATTATTCTTTCCTTTCCCTATATTCTCCAAAAGTGGATCACAAAGGATCCACAAAAGTGAAAATCATAATTTCCTGTAAGAATACAGATCGATAGCGTTTCACATGAGCGGAGGTCTCTATTTGTGGATTGCGAGCTGAAAGGAGCACACACAAATTTCGGCCATATTTTTCTACGTTTATATTGCTATTTATAAAGCTAAAAATCCATAAAGGTTTGGGTATATCTTATAAACACTGCAGGTATATTCTATAATTAGGAATAATTTGGAAGACTTTTTTAAAAGTTCATTGAAAAGGTGAGGAAAGTATATCCAACCATAGGGAAAGAAGAAAGGTAGGAGACAATTAAATTTGTTTAGAGCGGTGGTTCTTAAAGCATGGTCCCTGGGCCAGCAGTATGAGCATCACCAGGCAATTTGTTAGAAATGTAAATTCTTGGCGCACCTGGGTGGCTCAGTTGTTAAGCACCAGCCTTCAGCTCAGGTCACGATCCCAGCGTTCTAGGATCGAGCCCCGTATCGGGCTCTCTGCTCAGCGGGGAGCCTGGTTCCTCCTCTCTTACTCCCCCTGCTTATATTCCCTCTCTTGCTCTCTGTGTCAGATAAATAAATAATATATATATAAATATATTTTATATACATATATTTATACATATGTATGTATAAATATCATACATATATTTATATAATATATTATATATTTATACATATATATTTATATATTATTTTTTATATATACATATATATTTATATATAGAATACACGTATATATTTTTATATAAAATACATATATATATTTATATATAAAAATTCTTGGGCTTCTACTCCAGATGTAATGAGTCAGACTCTGAGGGTAGGGCCTGGTGATCTGCCTTTTAGCAAGATCACAAGGTGATTTTAATGCATGCTCAAGTTTCAAAACCCTGAACCCTGCTCTAAAATATTTATTATTTCCATGCATCTGCAAGAAGAACCAAAGAGGCAAAAATACTACTGATCTAGTGTTATCTGTTAGTTGCTATACAGACCCACATTGCTCTGATAACAGCAGTGTTTTGTTTTGTTTTTTTTAACCCTAAGCTTCCTATCATTTCATCATTAGAGCTTAATGGTGAAAGCAGAATTGATAGGAGGCATATCTGGGGGAGTCTAGTCTTTAACTGCTTCACAAGCTACTGTAATCTATTTCTATTTTGTACTCAAGGCAGAATTAAGACTGTACAACTTGATCAACAAGGATAAGAACTGGAAGGCTGGAAGAGGGTAGGGTAGCTCCAGGTGCAACACTAACCTTGAATCGTCCTCTTGAAGAACGCCTTGCAGGCTTCGCACGATGCTACCCCATAGTGGTACCCGGACGCGATGTCGCCACACACTAAACACAGTCTCTTGGGCATCGAGTTGAGCATGTATTCACACTTGGTCTGGGGATCTTCAACAATGGTGCTGGAGCAGTCATCATACAGTTTCCTGACAGGCCCACTCCCTCCTAGGATAGGAGCAGAAGGGTAGAGAGGCGGCGAGTCAAGTCCGTTCTGATGGCCATTCATGGTTGAACTGTAGCTCCCGCTGGCGTCTGAAGAGCCGCCTGGGCTGTGGTGGTTGACGCTGTCCGTCAGGGAGGCCGGGCTGGAGGGTTCCGTCTTGATGAAGGACGAACAGCTGGAGTCAATGTGTCGATCTTTGTTTGACATTCTGCAGAGAAGCCTGAGATGTAGGGAGATACAAACGGAGAGAGAAAAAAAGGAGAGAGTGTCAAACACGCGACTAAAGGGGTAGAAAGAAAGAGAAGGTTAAAAAAAAAAAAGAGAGAGACAGAGAAAGCCAAAGGGAAGGATGAAAGGAGGGAAAAAAAAATAGAAAAATTCATATGTTAAAGACATTGCTCTTTGAGCAAAGTGGGTGAGAGCAGGAACTACACATCATTCATTCTCTAGTCAATATCTCTTGTTCTACAAGAAGGTAATCAGCATAAGGGCATGACAGGGTTACATCAAAGTGCCCAGACAGGCCATAAACAAAACCTCTAATGGGTCAGATTCCTTTTATTTTACCTTCCTCCTGGAGAACCACTGTCAATATCTAAATCAACACTCTAGATTCTAAATTTACCCGTGGAAGAGGAGTGATTTAAAAGTCCGTATCATTTCCAAAATTGGATTTATCCTCACTCTACTCTTCCCCGCCACGTTCCGATGCTGCAATCATGTTACTGTGAGCAGAATCCAACTTTCATTTTCAAGACCGAACAGATGATTCCTCAGCTCTGTAATTACTGTTTGTCAACATGCTTCTATAAGCATAACTGTGTCTTTTATTGATCTAAGACACATAGGGAATATATCCTCCGCCACTTTGCTGCTTTTTTTGAATCGCTCTATTTCATAGCCATTTCGCAATCGAGAAAGGTGTCAGGTATAAAAACTCCAGCCAATATGTAAGGATGAGATTCTAGAGCCCACAAAACTTAGTGAAACGGTCACCAGTACTGATAAATACATATGTGCAAGTTCCTGCACGTGTGATTGGCCATTGTTTAAAGGACGAATCAGGAAAAGCCATGTGAGCCTTCAGGATACCTGTGAGTCCATAAATCTGATACTTCGTATTATATTCAGCAAACTACGAATGTATCCCATTTTGTCAAGAAAAATGGGATTTGTGACGGTCCCTTCCCCCCCTTCTTTTAGTCTTTCAACATCAGACCTCCTAAAAGGCAACAGGAGGCATCTAATCTGACAAACTCTCTCTCTTATCTAGAAGAAACGGACTGCCCCTCTTTCTTTGTTGGACCCGTAAGTGATTAAATTTCTGAAAAGGTAATTAGATGAAAAGATATAATGGGTCCTATTTTCTTTCTGATGAGCCATAGTGCAAAACCCCTTTTAGCAAAGTCTCTAGGAATATTCTGAGAGCCTGCTATGGAAAGAAGAGGTGACAGTTGAGAAGGGGGTTTTGCTAATTGCTTCCCAGTGGAAAGGTGATTTATAGGAATCCCACGGGGTAATGGTCATTCACTAGAATTTGGGGGAGTTGTCCCAATATAACCAAAGGGAAGCAATTATCTCTACCACTATAAATCTAAGCATATTTTTTCATTGCCCAAATTTCATGTTCTCCTCCAGGTCTTCCTCCCCACTACTATCCTGTTACTTTAAAGAAAAAAAAAAATTCCTATTGGGGAAGTTCCCTTCACTATTCCAAGAAAGCTGTCTCTAAAGCAAAGCATCAAGGGCAAAAATTCGCCTCTTATCCAGTACACAGCACCTTGGGAATTTTGTTCTGCTTTCTAAAGTAAAACAGTATCAGGATGTGAAGAAAGCAAACAGGAAGGAGAAACCCACAAAAATATCTTCTCGCTCTCGCCTACCCACTCGTGTTGTCCTTTCCTCAAGAGCTAGTGAAAGCAAAAATATCCCCCTCGCCAGCCTGAACTACGGTGTCCTCTCCCTTCTGCATCTGCTGCCTTGTACCCGTCACCGTTAATGAGCGCTGTAATTAATAGATCGCTCTCCCTGTCTCCCTGCTTGAACTCCGGGCTAAGCACTTTTCCTCAAGTCAACGTTTGAAAGAAAGCGGGTCGGCACTGACTTACAGCAGCCCTGCGAATTCCTTTTAATTTAGAGCACTTACCCCACCACTTCACTTATTACCTTATAATTACTGGACTGCTCGCACATACATTATGATCTTGGACTAGAGCTAGAAGTTATTAGGGTACTAAAACATGGTTGCTCCCCTTCCCTCTCTCTGGCACTGAATTTCTCACAGCGATGACAATTAACTCTTTCGCCGTCTGCTCTCAAGGCACCATTTCTTAATTTTTTCTTTTTTTTTTTTCTTTTTTTTTCTTTTTCCAGAGAGTGGCTTGGTCACAGAACATATCATGTCTTCTCCAGGGCCTCCTTCCCCTCTCTCTCTTTTCTTGTATCATCTGTGCTCAATTTCATCCCAATTTTCTTCCCCTCAGTCTTTCTCTCATGGACTTTACAGTCGGCAGAACTCTTGATGAAAAAACAAGGCCAGGAATTGCTTTCCTGTTTGTGGAACAGTTACTTGCTAAGTCACCAAATGTTTATGTGTCAAATGCATATTGTTAAAGTCCCTGAAAAATAGGGAGTCTCCAGCCAGCTGTCTCCTCTGAAATCTCAATCCGTAACTTTGCAATAACCTGCATAGAAGCAAGGACATTAGGAAGTTAAGTTATTGGGGAGGGGCTCCTGGGTGGCTCAGTGGGTTAAAGCCTCTGCCTTCGGCTCAGGTCATGATTCCAGGGTCCTGGGATCGAGCCCCACATAGGGCTCTCTGCTAGGCAGGAAGCCTGCTTCCTCCTCTTTCTCTGCCTGCCTCTCTGCCTACTTGTTATCTCTATCAAATAAATAAAGAAAATCTTAAAAAAAAAAAAGGTCACTGGGGAAGTCTCTGGAAGGTGGCAGTCTCTTCACCTGCACAAGGTCTAGCCCGTGTAGCTGTAAATGAGACTGAGGAAACTGGATTTGTGCTCTAGGTTACGTATTTCTTTTCAGACAATACACTGCTTCCTTAATTAATACCTTTTGCCCAGCGGAAATAGTTACAGTCAGACTTGCCGTTTATCAGATGCTCACGATCTGGCAGGCACTGACCCGAGCCCCCTACTCATACTACTTCACTTAAGCATCAAGACAACCTTGTGAGGGAGGAATTTGTCTTCAGGAAACAGAGCCTCAAACGTCACCCAGTGTCCTGAAAGTCACAGAGTGAGGGCAGGGGAACGCCGGAATTTGAACTCAGGTCCGATGCCAAAGTCCAGCGCAGAAATGTCGTGAAGCCAACAGAGAATTTTTTTTTTTTAAAGCCAAGCAATTAGGGGTAGAAGTGACACCACACAGACAGACCTAAGACCTCCCCAGCCACCCCACCGGTCGCAGGTCGGCCTCAGCTGAGTTGTCCTCCCCAGTGCTGGGAATGACACCGAAGCAGAAATCTCTGAAAGAACACAGTTGTCTCCTAATTACTACTTAGCTCATTACACCAAATACTTCCTAGACACCATTACATTATACCCTAAAACTACAGCGGGTCTTAATTCTCTTCCTCTCTGTCTCTGAAATTCTACAGCTCTATTATTCAAGCCTGAAATATTCACAACTATCTATAAATTCAATTGTCAGCTGGTGGGTTTTATTCTAGACTTCACTTCAATCTAAAATTAGAGGCACTAAAATTCACATTAACTCTAAGAGGAATGTAGTGAATAAGACTTTATTTCAAAAGAACACCTTTTTGTCAGAAAGAGCCATTTTCGAGATGATGGCTTTATCTGTAGCCAAAGAGAATGAGCCCAATTCTACATTGTGCTGTTAATGCAGAAATTTTAGGTCACATTGGATTAATAAAAATCTAAATTTAGTTAAGAATTACGAATAGAAATAACATGTGTAGGAAAGTGTGGGAAGTATTTATTTTAAAACCTCAGTACACTCGCTTTTATTATTTGAAGGGAAATGATGAGACGTACAAGGGGGCAAGACAAGAGACTTTCCAAAAAACTTCTGAAGGAACACCCTCAGAAGAAACTGGAGGGAGAAACAGCTATGTCGAGACTCACAGTTTGCTTCTGCAGAAGACACTACATTTGAGGGATTTAACAACCTTCCTGAGGCCAGGGTGAGTCCAGTCCTGTATAAAGAGGCATTTTTAACATTGTTTAACATACAGTCTCAGTAATTCTGATGGTCACGCTTCGTAGCCTGGCCCAAGAGTCAGCAAGGGTAAAATTTACCTTTGGTGTTAGATACTAACGATCAGGCAAATACAACTTCTTAGTTGCTGGACTATTTCAAAATGTAATTTTTGAAAGTTAATTAACTGTGCTAGACGCGTGCATGTATAGAGAGAAAGAATAAGAATCAATTAAAGTGGTTGCTGTAGGGGGAAACAAGAAGATAATCTGTAAGTTAATATTCAATTTATATTATAATGATTAAGCTTAATTGTTTTCAGAGATTCTACCTAGATACAGGTAAATGAGCGACCTTGAATGAATCGCCCCGAGTTAGAATTTCCACATGCATGCGTCCATGTCCAACCCAGGTGGTCTGCATTTCAAGGCAGCTTAGCCAATACTTGGTGTTAAATGCCAGCATAACACAAATGCTACTTCATTTCCCTACTTTAAAAAATGATGCACGGGGGCACCTGGGTGGCTCAGTGGGTTGAAGCCTCTGTCTTCGGCTCAGGTCGTGATCCCAGGGTTCTGGGATCGAGCCCCGCATCGGGCTCTCCGCTCAGCGGGGAGCCTGCTTCTCCCTCTCTCTCTCTGCCTGCCTCTCTGCCTACTTGTGATCTCTGTCAAATAAATAAAAATAAAATCTTAAAAAAAATTAAAAAAAAATGACGCACGAAATTCTCTTAAGGAACATATTATGCAATTATGCACAGTTCTTTGGGTTTCCTGATTGTCGTACTAAGACAAGATCTTTTGAAACTTTTATTTTATCCATACCAAGGACAGACACCTTAAAAAGCTAAATAAATGCCAACTAAAGAAGTCACTATTTGATTTTCTTCCTTAAGGGCCCCAAAAGGTACCCATCTTCATCACAAACTCCAAACACTTTGCATCCGTTTTTATCCAAAAATTTGAGGTAAGCACACTGCAGCCAGCAAACCTGCAAGTTCACAGACACGAGACAGAAACAGGAAGACAAGAGTCAGCTTTCTTA